TATTATATGTACGATAGGCTCAATTATCAAAGGAAGTACACTGAAAAAAGTGTAACATACAGTTGTTCATTCAAACTAATAACTGCCATTTAAAACAAGATAAAATTATTGATTTGATAGTAAAACTCATTCTTTTTGCATTTAGATACATCAATTTTGATTTATACTGAACTAAATATACGTCCAAAGGACCCAAAACAAAGTTTTTGATTTGTCTCAAATTGTTTTTTTTTTCCTTCATGACCTGCAGGTAATATTTTTAGTTTGAGTCAAATGAATTGCGTATGCGCATTGCACACATGTTCCCATGTTCGATCCTGCACTCTTAGCATTCTACTCTGCTGACCAGATGCATCACTAGACATCTGATATTGTCCTTGGTGGATTTCGTCCAAAAATAAACGTAAGTATTAAAGCAGTTGCTGATTATTTTGATTAATGTTTTATTGTTTTGTTAGAATTGCAAAGAATATCCCAATTTAATGGGGCGTTAGCTGGCAGTAGTTGGCTGGCTAATTGGCAGTAGCAGGCTAACTTGCTAGCATTTACCGGACACGTTATGAATTTATGACCACGAATAATAATACATATATTTTCTAACCCGTTACAAGTGTTGGTAAGGTAAGCTAGCCAAAAAACATCGTCAAATTGGGCTACATTCCATGCCCGGGCTCACTAGGGCTCGGGCGCCATGATGTCATTACTTCGCGGGCTGCCATGTTGAAGGCTTCTTTAACTGTTCCTTGAGCCACTGCACGCTGTGTACAGTTGTGTACAGTTCCTTAGCTGGCTTTTGGCCGGTTTGAAAAGCAAATGGCCGGTAAAAATAATTTCCATCAGTAACAGTAAAAAATATACAGACAATATATAAATATTAAATACTACATGTCACCTAAGTCAGTGACTAACATCATAATGTGTTTTTGAGACAGCCCTAAATATTAAAAAAGGTTCAATATTTCTATCAAAATAAGTTTCGATTTACGCCCTTAGCTCATTTTACAAAACGCAGTTGAAGCGCCATCATCGCGCTTTTCTCGTCGTGCTTCGTTACATTTTCCAAGAAAACGGCCAACTACAGGTACATTTACTTTGCTAAGAGAGGGTTAAGAACTCAGCAGCTAATACTTTTATTAGGATATTCTTTAAACGCGTGTGTGTTCAGTCAGACTGACGCGCTCTCACAGCGGCTCTTCCTGGGAGAGTGGCCGGGTTTAGAGGCGCTTCCCTCGGCCAATCTGCGCAGACGCCTCGGCTTAGTTACCGGAGTTCGGAGCCGCTCAAGAGTGTGGCAGAGCTGGGTCCGTGTTGAATTGCTCGAGACTGACTTTTGATGACTTTAGTGCTGTCGATTGTCCCTCCGTAGTATTTCAGCGGTGAGACAGACTTACTCGCTAATTTCTACACCTGAAGCCACGTTAAAGCGCGGAATGGCATCTACAGCCCAGCCCTCGCTGTGCAGCTGAGACGTGCTAGCACTTGCTAACATCTGGTATGTGTACACATGTCTTCAGAGGGAAGTAATTGTTTATTTTATGTTGTATGCTCTCAGAACCACAAGGCCCTCTCTTCAGTTCCCTGGCTATAGCCTATATCTTCATCCAACCTGAGCAGGTAAGACATTGCATTTACACTGCACATCGCCTTTTTATCCATTTCATAAATCACCCTGAATATTAGATCCTCACCTCATTTTCATAGTAGCAAACGCGTGCGTGCGTGCATGTGTGTGTGTGTGTTTCTGAGTGCTGAGAGATAGTTGAGAAGGAGCTACAAAGTGTGGTCGCCTGTCAGTGTTAGCTTTATATTTTCCCCTCATTTATTGCCTCACAGCACAACTTTTTCAGTTAACTACAGAAAAAGTTTACACATATTACAAACTAAACAAAAAGTGAAGCATAAGATTTCAAGTTTCAAAAGGGAATATTCTAAACAAATTCACAGAAGAACAGACAAAATTGACAAACATTTTTGTCAATATGGAATGATTTGAGTTTAGGAGGCAAGAGATTGTAGATCAGAAGCCTTGCATCGAGGACCTCATAGAAAGATGGCCAGCTTTATTTCAGGTGGAAGAGGTATACCTCTCTTTCATACTAATTATAACAAACCATTTTTTTCCAGAAATAATGCATACACAGGGCTTTACAAATACTATTGAAAGTATTCATCCACAATTAAATGTAGTTTGAAATTACTGAATTTTGACTAAGTAACAATGAACAACAACAAATCATTACCAAAACACAGCCAAATGGGGAACAATAGTTACGTGATTGTTATAGACCATACATTCTAGTGGGTCATAAATGATCATTGAGCGGTATTTGAGTATGAAGAATGATACATTTTGATAATTGACAATTTGACAAAGGAGAGACTACATATTCTACCTTTTAAGACATACTTTGGAGATGGGGAATTAATGCTTGTGCCAAGTTCAATGAAAAAAAAAAAATATATATATTATATATTAATATTAATAATAATATAATATAATAGCATATTGTGCACTGCTTCCTCGTGTACAGATCAATGCAGAATTTCTATGGGTTACTGCAGTTCCCCTGCTGACAAGATTCATGGCCCAGCTGGACAACTCCACACAGCTACTGAAGATCATCAAAAAGAAGGGAGGGATAATCAAAGCAAAAACTGCCTCGATTCTGCAGTTTCTTGATCAGGTATGATTTATATAATGAATCACTAACAACAGTTAGATTTAACCCTTGTCTGATGGGGATAGGCATTTTTTTCCATTTTTATTTGTATTTCGGTGATGAAGTCATTTGAAAAACTATTTTCAAACTGTTGGTATGAAGTGTCTGTGTCGAGCAAGGATGTGTGGGCTTTGCAAATGTTCTTTACACACTAGTCGCATGTGCCCTTCCTCTGTTGCACACAGAGTTGCATTTTGGGAGATTTGGAGGAACCTTTGTACTCACCTTGCTCTTGCCTTCTCCCTTAGTGGGGAGCTACTGTCATTGTTGCATTTGTGAAGTGACCAGTGCTAATGCTAGCTCTTCCACAAACCAGGGATATGCTTTTACAATACCTTGATTCCAGCTCAAATGCACATTCATCCACAGCACAAATTAGTGATAGCAGACACATCCAGGATGAGAACATGTACATGACCATTGGCAGGTCTTGAGAGAGGGCTGCAAAAGACAGGCAAAGAGACATCCAGTCATCCCTCTTCTAAGAGAGACTGAGTGGTCTCTGACATAGATCCTGAAATGCTCTGGTTTCAATTAATTGTGCCATGGATTCAATTGTACAAGCGCCGACTGTTTGTGGTAGAGCTGGAAATTCAAAAGCTTGCCAATCCTCCACACTGCATAGTAACCTTTTTTCACTGTCCCTGCAGGATGCTGATGCTGATCTCAGAAGGGAGTGTGTCCTCAAATCTCTCATCATATACCTGGGAGAATGTCTTGAGGACCTGATCAAAGAATACACGGTATGTCTAAATCTGTTGACTCTCCATTATGAGATGCAATTGAATAATGCTGGGGAAGCTTGACAGCGCTGTCATTGGATGTGGTGATTACTAATTAGTTGTTCACTAATACATTTTGCCCTAAATTTTTACATCAGATGTCCGAGAAAGATCAAGCCGAGCAAGAGCTGGAGAGTACCACCATGGCAGTCTTCGTCTTGAGGGAGAACTCGAGCCTTCTTCAACAGCCCAAAGAGATCGGGATCATCATTGATGGTGTGGAAGTCCTCAATGAGTTACCTTCTGTGGCAGCTGGAGTGATGATGCTCTTTGGACTCTGTTTTGCACTTAATATGGAACATCCACAGGGGTTCAGGTTCACCTTTGAGGCTCTTCAGAAGATCCTTATGGAGCTTGGTTCCAACAAGATGAGCTCCAAGATTCGCAAACTGAATGGAGAACTCCACACTGCACAGTAGTATGTGTGGCATGCGTACACGGGCTCGTTTTTTTTAAAGTAGCTTGTAGTAACCACAAACTGCCAGCCAGCACTTTATGAGGCAGAGAACCTCAGCTGCACTTGCACCTAGCCAAGGGTGCTGTAGACATTTAATTTTGTGTACAGGTTGTTCATACTGGATAGTCACATGTGTGTTTGTCCTTGTTCATTTGTTAGTCTTCATCCGACTCGCATTTCATAAAGATCTGGACTTAAAATGTTGCAGCAGATTACAAGTTCAGATACACTATTGAGGGTTAGGACTCCCCATTTAAAAGGCAGATTCCAGTTGCCAGAGGGTGATAATGTAGCACATGTTTTCTAAAAAAAAAAAAAAGTCAGTTATTACTGTGCTGAGATTAATAAATGCATTTAATGTAATCTGTTGGCCAAGTGTCTTTTTTAAATTATTATTATAATTTTTTTTTAAGAGTTATAAGGTGGGAAAGAAATATTTTTTGGGTCAAATAAAGTCAAAATGTGAAAAATATTGTTTGGATAAATGTAAATTAGTTAACTGGTGTCAATGCAAACAATTCAATTTAAGTAAATTAAAAGTGAATACATTAGGTTGATATAATTTAAATGTATTAGTTTGGTTCAATAACTAAAAATGAAGAAAATAATTTCGATCAAGGCAAAAAATTAAGGTTGAGTCAAGTGCGAAGATTATTGTTCACATCAACATAAAATAATCGGGTCATATCAAGTTACTCAATTTAGATTCTGTGAAGTCAAATATTTTAGATGTGATATCTGGACATCAATTTTTTTAGTTTGAGCATGGTTATACTTTTTTCAGTGTAACCTTTTTTCACTGTCCCTGCAGGATGCTGATGCTGATCTCAGAAGGGAGTGTGTCCTCAAATCTCTCATCATATACCTGGGAGAATGTCTTGAGGACCTGATCAAAGAATACACGGTATGTCTAAATCTGTTGACTCTCCATTATGAGATGCAATTGAATAATGCTGGGGAAGCTTGACAGCGCTGTCATTGGATGTGGTGATTACTAATTAGTTGTTCACTAATACATTTTGTCCTAAATTTTTACATCAGATGTCCGAGAAAGATCAAGCCGAGCAAGAGCTGGAGAGTACCACCATGGCAGTCTTCGTCTTGAGGGAGAACTCGAGCCTTCTTCAACAGCCCAAAGAGATCGGGATCATCATTGATGGTGTGGAAGTCCTCAATGAGATACCTTCTGTGGCAGCAGGAGTGATGATGCTCTTTGGACTCTGTTTTGCACTTAATATGGAACATCCACAGGGGTTCAGGTTCACCTTTGAGGCTCTTCAGAAGATCCTTATGGAGCTTGGTTCCAACAAGATGAGCTCCAAGATTCGCAAACTGAATGGAGAACTCCACACTGCACAGTAGTATGTGTGGCATGCGTACACGGGCTCGTTTTTTTTAAAGTAGCTTGTAGTAACCACAAACTGCCAGCCAGCACTTTATGAGGCAGAGAACCTCAGCTGCACTTGCACCTAGCCAAGGGTGCTGTAGACATTTAATTTTGTGTACAGGTTGTTCATACTGGATAGTCACATGTGTGTTTGTCCTTGTTCATTTGTTAGTCTTCATCCGACTCGCATTTCATAAAGATCTGGACTTAAAATGTTGCAGCAGATTACAAGTTCAGATACACTATTGAGGGTTAGGACTCCCCATTTAAAAGGCAGATTCCAGTTGCCAGAGGGTGATAATGTAGCACATGTTTTCTAAAAAAAAAAAAAAAAAGTCAGTTATTCCTGTGCTGAGATTAATAAATGCATTTAATGTAATCTGTTGGCCAAGTGTCTTTTTTTAATTATTATTATAATTTTTTTTAAAGAGTTATAAGGTGGGAAAGAAATATTTTTTGGGTCAAATAAAGTCAAAATGTGAAAAATATTGTTTGGATAAATGTAAATTAGTTAACTGGTGTCAATGCAAACAATTCAATTTAAGTACATTAAAAGTGAATGCATTAGGTTGATATAATTTAAATGTATTAGTTTGGTTCAATAACTAAAAATGAAGAAAATAATTTCGATCATGGCAAAAAATTAAGGTTGAGTCAAGTGCAGGATTATTGTTCACATCAACATAAAATAATCGGGTCATATCAAGTTACTCAATTTAGATTCTGTGAAGTCAAATATTTTAGATGTGATATCTGGACATCAATTTTTTTAGTTTGAGCATGGTTATACTTTTTTCAGTGTATGTCTTTGAAGAGCCATGCCGGGACTGCGTCTAACATGCAAGTTGAGGCTTTTGAGGATGTGACCACAGAGATCACCTCTGCTTGGCTCACAGCCATGAATTTATCGAGGCCCACTGAAGAGTCTAAGTGGGAAGTCACGTATGCCGCTTCAGCTTGTCCACTACCAACAGCAGGAGTAACCTCCTCCAGTTTGTCACGGATGGATGTAATTTTACTATTAAAGAAGTGGAGAAAGTCGACACTGCTCAGTGAGCTTGGAATTTTAGGCTCGATTGCGCTATGGCAGTTTGTGAGTTTAGCGACGGTGCTAAACAAAAATCTACTGTTATTTTTATTTGCTTCTATTAAAGTTGAATAGTATTGAGTTCGAGCCCTGCGAAGGGCATTCTTGTAGTTTCGGAGACCTGCTTTCCACTCCCTGTGGACAGGCTCCGAGTGGGAGTGGCGATATAGCCTCTCCAATTTTCTGACGTCCTGTTTTAAAGTGTGGAGTTGAACACTGTACCAGGGCGACGATGATCTAATCCTAATAGTTTTCTGTTTTAAAGGAGCTGCTGCATTTAATGCAGATTTTAAAGACTCCATAGTGTTGTCCACCGTTTGGTCAATGACTGAGGGACTGCAGCAGCTGTGAACAGGTTCACCTGCAGCAGTATTCAACATAGGCTGTATTAGTTCTTTGAACCTTGTGATAGATTTATCATTTAAGGTTCTTTTCATTATGGTTTTATCTTGCAGGACAGGAAAGTCCTCCAAATCGAAATCAAACGTGATCAAGAAATGGTCAGACAGCAACGAGCTTTGACGCTGGATGTAAACATTGGAGACATCACAGCCGTAGGTCAGGACAAGGTCCAAGGTGTGGTTATGAATGTGAGTAGGTTCCTCAACATTCTGAGTAAAACCAACACCGTCTAGTACGGCGCTGAAAGCTTTGTTTAAGCTGTCAGTGCTGTCGTCCACATGTATATTGAAGTCTCCAGTTATAACTATGTTTTCCCATTCCAAAACTAGGTTTGAAATGAAGTCAGAAAATTCTGTTAGGAACTCGCTGTAAGGACCAGGAGGTCGGTATAAAACTATAAATAGCACCACTTTTTGTTTTCTCCACCCAGGACAGGTGATTGAAAGTGTTAAGTTTTCAAACGAGTGAAAAGCATTGTTGGTTTTGGGACTAAGAACCAAGTTGGTGTGTGATATAATCGCAACACCACCGCCGCGACCTGTAGTTCTCGCTTTCTGGTAGTTAACATGCATCGGAGGAGTGCACTCATTCAATCTAACGTAGTCGTCCTGTTGGAGCCAAGTCTCAGAGAGCGCAAACAAATCCAAGCCCTTGTCTATAATAAGTTCATTTATGAGAAGCGATTTAGACGAGATTGATCTGACGTTCATTAAACCACATTTAACAACCCTACTGTTAGAACTATTTCTGTCTGTCTGAACTTTTATTAAGTCACTGTGTCTGACGCCCAGGTCAGATTTCCTCGCATATAGTGCTTTAGACTTCAAGCGAGGAACACACACAGTTTCAATCTGACTAGGTTCTGAGGCTAGTAACTGAGCACACACAGGCACACACACACATGCACACACAGTTTCAATCTGACTAGGTTCTGAGGCTAGTAACTGAACAGATGGGGGCTCAGAGCTTGTGGCAGAGCAGCTCTGCACCCGGGCCTCAGTTCTGCACCGTCATTTGAGCCGGGCAGAACAGTTTAGAGCCAGGGCCAAATTCTTAGCCAAAAGGGATGTACCCGCCAACGTTGGGTGGATATCATCCGAGCGGATGAGACCGGGCTTTCCCCAAAAGGCACTCCAATTGTCAACATGAACAACACCACTTCGAGGGCACCAGCCAGACAGCCAGCGGTTGAAAGCCGAGTGTCTGCTGAATGCTTCTGCACTGCTAGTGCTAGGTAGGGGCCCAGAGAAGATGACAGTGTCGGCCATTGTGCTAGCCAGCTTGCACACCGCGGCGACTTGTAGCTTCAACACCTCGGACTGTTTCCGCCGAACGTCGTTACCACCCGCGTGAATAACAATTCGACGGAAACGCTGCTTGTGGGTCATCATGAGCGTCAGATTCCATTCAATATCACCAAGCCTGGTCCCAGGGAAGCACCGAACAGTGGCTCCCGGGATCTTAACACCTCTAACAATAGAGGAGCCAAATACCAGCGCATCAGCGACTCCATCGGCTCTCTCAGCAGCTCTCTCAGCGGCTCTCTCAGTGGGGCCTTCTTCCCCGCTGTCCCAGCGATTGTAAATGCTAATAGGAGGAGGCCCAATGGGGAAACTACCAACAACACGTCGCCCTCTCCGAACAGTCACAAAGCCATCACTATCCTGGTCTTGTCCCAGCTGCGGAGGACGGGCTGGGAGGCTAGGCTCGCTAGTTCTCCTCTGTACAATAGCTTTTACTGAAGCCATGTACACGCACTAAACTCTCATGGTGCGTTCAGACCAAACGCGATTTCTGCGGCCAAAGCGGCGGGTCTACATTGACACAACATGGGGGATGCGCGCCAAGGAGCGGCGAGAGATCACGCGGCGCAAATTCGAGCGTTTCGCGCGATTCGCGCGGCGTGTTTTGAGATGTCAAGCGTTTTGACGCGCGTTTCGCGCGATTCGTGCCTCCAACGCGGCCGCCGCTAGAGTCGAACAATGTTGAACTTTTTGGGAGAATTCGCGTGTGCCGACCAATCAGGAGCTTTCTCCTCCAGTGACGTAGTGACGCATTTCACTACCGGAAAAACACTGGTAGATGACAGTAGATCATGGAGGACACGCTAATAGCTCAGGTCGGTGCTCATTCTGAGCTATACAACACTGCAGACCACAGCTACCGGGACCGAAATAAAAAGGAGCTTGCTTGGAGGAGGGTTAGCGAGGTGGTTGGTGTCTCGGGTAAGTTATTTTAACTTTTCACAGTAAATATTTCCCCGCGAAAAAAACTACTACTTTCCCGCTTACGAGTTGATGTGTTTATTCAGTGGAAGTTTGCAAAAAGCGGTGGAAGAACCTGAGGGACACATATGCTAAGGAGAGCAGGAAGGAGAAGGAAAAGGTGAAGAAGAGTGGTGCAGAAGCAGGGAAAGGCCAGACGTGGAAGTACCTTGTGGTCATGTCCTTCCTCGAGCCCTACATCACTCCCCGTGACAGCTCCGGGAACATGCCAAGGCGAAGGGCCGAGGAGGAGCAGACCACAGGGTACAACCACCCAGAAGAAGAGCCAGAGGAAGCAGCAGCAGCAGGGCTGTCAGGTGCTGAAGGTCGGTGTCATGCAGCAAACAGAGACCTCGAACAGTTGGAAAAAATACATTTCTTTCCTTTTTATTACCCACATTTTGCTGACTTTTACATTTATATTGCTTTCTGTGTATGCATTTCTTTTAATGCTTTCTTAACATCATGGCCAGGTGAAAATAGGCATTGGCTATTTTCAAACCAGGATAGATCTTGATCATGTGTTGTGTTAAATTTCACTTTTCCCTTTCATATGAACAAATCATTTAAATGTACATAATAATGTACATTATTATGTACATATAAATGTCATAAGCGCAATGTACACATGATATGAAATAATTGTATTTCTTGTTTTCTTCTGGTGCAGATACTGCCACCACCACACAAGGTGAGACATCTTGGCCTGAGCTGCCTGCTGCTGCTGCTGCTGCTGCTGCTGCTTCTTCCTCAGCCGGTTCTTCTTCTGTGAGGGCTGGACCTTCCCCTGCTTCTGCACCTACAGGTGTGGCTTTTTTTAATCATTGTTTTATTTTTATTCTTATTACAGGACTGTTCATATAAACAAAATGTTACTGCATAATATGCCAAAATTACCCAAGGGCTGTTACATCAGTGTAGACGACAAATTTACAGAGAAACGACAAGATGTCAAGGCACTACAGGTGGAAAGAAGCTTTGGTCTGAAGCTTCACATCTTCCCTCTTTCTTCGATAAAAACATACTACTGAAATACCTTATGCTATAAAAGTACTGAACAAATACATGCAATGGTTGCCACAAGATGGCAGCTATCCTGTTTAATGCAGACAATAGAGTATTACTTTTTTAACAGCCAATTTCAAATTTCATTGCGAAATACACTTCAGAGATATTAGTTTGTAACTGTCGAAATTTGTGCTTGTGCGAGTAATTTCATTGA